GTGAAGTCTAGGTCATTTCTTTTGAGTGATTAAGGTACACCCCCCCCCCCCTTTTTTCTTTTTGGTTTAAGATGCAGCTGTAGCCAAAGATCTGCCATATGTAGCTATGCTACAGTGGAACCCCGATTATACAACTTTTGGGGGACCGTGCAAAACCGTACTATAACTCGTGCGTCGTATAATCGAAAAACTATTATGACACTCAGCCTAGCCCGAAAAATGGGTGCAGACTGCCTGAATAAGTCCATGGCGCGATCTTATCCCTCTGCAGTGAGACTAGATTAAATTATTGTTGCCAGTGGTAGCTAACGGCAGCAATAATTAGTTGAATGATGTCCAAGCGAATCTTCACTCTCAGCCCTAAAAACAATCAAATCCAACGCACATCTTTCTACACAGTCCAAAAAATGCCTGCACGTGAAACCGAAACCGTGTTGCCATGAGCCTCCTATCAGAAGAGTCGGACGCAGGGCCATCGTTATCGCATAATGGTGATGGACGAGTTTATGTACAATGCATTCGTGCCCGACTGAGATGTGCGGATTGTAATTTGTTGCCTCGTGAAGTGTAACCAGTGGTGTCCCACTATTATTATGAAAGTTGACGTCAAGTGAAAGTAATTTCACTGCGAAAGCAGCTGCGGCATGTCCTTATGCGTGCACAAACCAGTGACTGCGAGTGTGACAGAGGCAGATCAGCCATATGTCGACCAGGAAATATTTCCACGGACCGAAAATGTGAAAATATCAGCTTTTTGGTCAGTTGAACCTTATGTGAATAGAGCTTTACTAGGCAACAACCCCGGATAAGCATGCACGCGATTGAGGCATATGTAGAAGTGCATGAACTTCCGGGAGAATAAATTTTACATTCGATGAAGATGACTCACTTTTTCCTGTAGTCCTCCTTGGGGTACGCAAGTTTCTATTTCGCACTCGTGAATATTTGGTCGACATGTGAATCGAGTCAAGGTGTTTTTTTCTTTCCGACAGAATCTGAAAGTCGAGCGAGATGTGGGGTCGACGTAAAACTGGGTTGTATAACCAAGGTTTTTTTATAAATTGTTTCTATAGAGATTTTACCGGGACTAAACAGATTCGTCGTAAAACGCAGGTCGTCGCGAAACTGGAGGACGTATACTCAAAGTTTCACTGTATTCATATTGATGCTGATATCCATATTTATCTGAAAATTTTCAATTGTATTGATGCTCCATAATTTTAAAGTCTGGGTTCGTACAGGTCCTTGAAAACCTTTGAATTTGAAAAATGCATTTTCAAGGCCCTTGAAAGTCCTGGAATTTTCACCATCCTTGAAAATCATTGAATTTCCTGAGCAGTGCACTCTCATATCGACATCGCGACCTCCTAAATGTGGTACATCGGTGTGTTAACCTGTCAAACTCCCCATTTCTTAACGAGTAATGCGGCGTGGGTGCCCATGATCTAATTTTGCAAGGTCGCATGTGAAAAAAAGTTAGTTTCTGGCGAGGGTGAAGCACTGAATGTGATGTCAAGAAATTAGAATGTCACACGAAGGGCAAGCAACCCCATACATGCAACGCGCCGCTCAAGCACGAAGGATGCACGAAAAGAAAGCGCACAAGACGACTGCTAATGAACGACTGTCATAGCCCGACACTAGAAGCGTGCTGCTTAAACAAACCAAGAACTGTGCTAGAAAGGAACACACATGTATCCACAGGATGAGTATAAATTAACCACTGTCCCATTTGTTACTTCTTAGTTGTTGAGCAACGTGCTGCGAGTGTCAACTGTGCGCAAGCTGACACTCTTGATGGAATGGTGCCATCAAATTTCAAGGCTATAGCAAGCACCGTGTGTGTGTAAGAATATATTTTAAGTCCCTTCCCAAGTGTACCTAAATGCTCGTTCTCCTAATCGAGACCTATCGCGAGCACGTTTAACACTGACCTAGCTCTACAGGAAGGGCAACAAAAGTTCTAGTGATGTCATGCCAGATTTGTAGTTAGCTGAGTGACCTCCTGACTTCCGCCCTGCACATACCGGTAAAGCATCACGGCTGCTGCAAGTAGCAGCGAGTTTGTTTTGCAGGTGCTTGTGTGGCACATGTGTGCGAGAGCTGACAATACTCAGCATGACGCGTGCAAAACTTTGTGGCCACATGACTAAGTCAGCTACACTGCTATGTAGCTGCACAACTCGGTTCCTACAAACTTGAACTGAAAATTGTCCATATCAAACACTGCTATGTAGCTGAACAACTCGGTTCCTACAAACTTGAACTGAAAATTGTCCATATGAAAAAGGGGACAAATGATATAGCGAGACTAGATTAATGTTGGTGCGTGTATCGTGCTTATTGGACCTATCATTCAATTGCAGCAACGAGCGCGTAAGCTACAAATATTGTGGCACGACCCTTTTAAGGCTCGACTACGCATGTGCGTTGAAGCACAGTAGCGCGTAACTTTCCGACATTACATCGTGCCCTCTCCCTGTGGAGAGGGTGTGAGAAGCTGTAAAGACTATACTCTTTTTTTATAAATGTGATATCTATAAATTGTAAGTGTAATAAAATTGGTCATTTTTGAAAATTTGAGTGAAAAAATTTCAACTTCGCATGCTGCTTTCAGTTCATGAAAAACTTGCTACAGGTCCTGGAGAGTCCTTGATTATCTTTCAGTTTTTGCTTCGGAAATCTGTACGAACTCTGGAAGTGTAATTCGCTCACATTATTGTTCACAAAATCCTATAATACGCGCTGGACCCGTGTCTACGACAGTAAAAGCAACAATAAATGTTGCGCTTATGATGGTACAAATGCACCGATAGTTTGACATAGCCATGCAATTTTTTTCCAGCAGGGCTTGCATGACACGGTATCTTCTTTTGTTGTGCAGCATGGTGACTTAAGTGACCACCATATAATAAACACGCTCCTTGGTCTCTTTCTTTTCGGCATGGCTGAGAAAAGCACCACATGAGGAGCACCGCTAATAGACCAGAAGGTTCTTTTAGCCTCGTGTTAACTTGACTAGTCGCATAGGGTCACTTGCTACTCTGTCTGTGAACACCGGGCCTGTCACCTGGTTTGAGCATTTCGAGCTGACAAGAGAAAGAATGCACTGGGTGCTCACGATCTAGTCTGCCAAGATTTTCATCGCCGCGTGGTCTGGACAGACGTGAAATATCACTCGTGCACGTGTGCCTTGACATGGTGGACATGACGTACAACAAGGAATGGTCTTGCGCAGGGCCATAGCAAAGTCTAGCCATAGCCAGAGGGTTGCAGTCCAAGCTTGTGCCCCCCCCTCCATCTTTCGCCATCGTTATATAGTGTGAAATTACCGTTTGCCTGCTGTGCTCCCATTTTAAATGAAGCATATGTCAACTTAGCCATAAAAAAATAACATAGCTTCATAGTTTATTTCTTACAAGTTCAACAGCATTACATTATTAATTGGCTTACAAAAACGTAACGAAAAGTTCCGTAAGGCTAGTCAGGCTGGCAAAATTTGTGGGGCAAAGAAAATCACATGAAGTTTTGACACTCGCTGCAAAACTTTCTAAAAGGAATCTTCAACAATAAATTTTATATAGATGTTTTCTATCTGTTCCTTTTAAACAAAACAATAGTCTTGAAAAGCAAGACCTTAGCCTCGCCATGGCAAGTGGTTGAAAGAGGGGGGGTCTTGAAAAGACCATGGGGTATGAGACGAAAGCCACCGGTTCCTCGTAAATTAATAACTTGATTCTCATTACTTAACCACATGCATGTTAATCATTACTTAACCATCTGGATGTTAGGCAGCATGCTGCCCTGTGTAATAGGTTGCTATGAGCTGAGCGTCGCTTATGCTCAGTGATGCGTTGATGTTGCTTCCAAAGACAGTGCAGGGAACCGCATATATTTAGCGTTTCTGACAAGTATGTCAGCGAAATTGCGGCGAAACAAAGTGTATTCTCCTTCGCTCAGTCGATATCGTGTGTGGAGCGTGACATGCACTCTGTTCTGCTGCTCACGTGATTGTTATGCACACGGAGCGGATCATGAACATAAAGGTGCCAAATGGGCACCGACTTCACCACAACTCTCGTCCCGACGGTGCACTTCTATCCGGCACCTTTTTGTCCTGAGCCCGCCTTTTACAGTTTCCAAAAGATCGTTGCGAGGACGGTTTCAGATGTGTCTCCGAGCATCTCGATCTCTTGAAAAACTACCGGCGCAAAGCACTAACATGGTGCATCGAGGAACATGCACGAGCAAAAAAGCAGATGCACACAATCGATCAGCCGCGATGCAAACGCACAAGAAAAACAAGCGTTGGTTACACCAGCCAATCAAAAACGTGGAACGCCGCTCTTGAAAAGCACGTCGGCCATTAGGAGACTCAGTACAGTGCACTCGAAATGCGCGCAGAGTGAGAGCCAATTAGCAACCCGAGAACTACCTTCAGAAGATCCGCTATGGTGTCCAGTGTGCTTGGATGATGCCATTTCGAGAAAGCGCAAATTACACACCAAGAAAATAGCTTCAAATATAGTTCAAGATGGCGGTGCTCAGCCTGCTACAATGCTAATGGCGCGCGCAAAGTTCGAACAAATTTCGTTCTTTTGGGGACACTTGACTGCTGCCGGGGTTCTTTGAAGGCCTGTTATATTGCATTTCCTGACCGAATTCAGCACTACGAATTGGAAAGTAGGTGCTCAGAGGTACAAATGCACGAAAGTAAAGTTTTGCAAAAAATCAACTTTCTGGCCATTTTCGATCGTTACAAGACCTGTGTCCCCCCTTACTTATTACCATTATTACTACTTTGCATTATGTCGGGAGTTAGCCCGTCACTTGTGTAGCAGTACATTTTTTTTTGGGGGGGGGATGTGATGAAGTAATCCAGGAAGTGCCGTCTGATTCGTATTTGACGATATCTGGATGCAGATTTACGGTGCATTATGCTTAGTGACTTGTTAAGTTGTGCTGCCCTAATCTGCTCACTTCTCTGTGTTTTTGAACAGAAAGCCAACATGAATGATTTTGACCGGTTCAAGCTCCGGCGGGCAAAGCAGTCTGTATTTACATCTTGAAATCCAGCATTTTGTGTCAGTTTTAGGAGGCTGTGGGCTTGCTATTGACTCTTGATCCGCTGTATTTAACTGTTCTTCTGTGTGATTGGTCTTTGCTGTCTTCGGTCACCGTCTAGTTTCAATTCAAGTGAGGTGGTTTAGGGTGGGGGGATATATGCCTGTGCTTTGGTTAATGTAGAGGTGGCCAAATCCAGCCATTAATTCTGATGTTTAGCTTGATTGGTTCAAGCAGCTCTAAATTCGTTACAGCAAGATGGCAAGTTGGGCCAGGTGGATTATGTTCATAATTGAAAATTTTATGTAAAAGTGCTAAAAAAGAAACAGAAAAGGCTGACAAAGATAGCACTTGCACTGTCCTTGTCAACCTCTTCTGTCTGTTTTTTAGTGCTCTTCAACCAAATTTTTTAACTTCATTGTTTCCTAATGGTATGTAATGAAGTTTAAAGAAGTATGGTTAAGGTAAAGCCCCCCCGAAAAATCAAACCTATAATTTTGACACACAAAAAAAATTCTTTGTACTTTGAGGAACGAACCTGTGGAAGCCCGACGTCGACTTGCTGCTCCAACCAGATCGAATTCCGCGCCGAAGTACGTCACGTGCCCCCTAGCGTAAGCAGTACTCGCAGATAAATCGTTTTTCACAAAAAGCATTTTTTATAAATTTTTCAACTTCAATGTGCCTTTTTTCAAAAAGTATTCAATCGATTTCGGTGAAACTTTGTATGCAGGAGCTACAACAACTTGGAAACAAACTGAACCTTTTAATTGCTGATTTTATAAAGAGTAAAGCTGTGAAAGAATTACACAATATGCACCCTCTGTGGCCTTGTGCATGCAGTACCTTTTTTTTAGGAAAACTTCATTAAAAATGTGTATTTTGTCAGTTAAGATGTAAGTAATAGGCCTCAACAGGGTTGTTAATCATTACACTCCTTTCAATAACTGCAGAGAAAAGATACATTCAATAAGTGAAGCCCCTTTAGAAAAATGGTGTCACTTGACACCCAGGGACATTTTTTGGAGAGCACGTAAAATTTTATGGGGATACTTCCAGTCGTTTCTTTAACATATGTATTACACTAAAACTGACATATACCATTTACCCTACCAAACCCCTTTAAGGTGCTACATGAGCATTGTACTTGTCTTGTTCATGGTGATGAGGTTTTACAGCAACATTTATTCATCTTTTTAATGAATGTTCTCCCAGTAACAAGTTTATGATTAATTTCTAATTTGCAAAATATTAGTAGAAGACTGCCAGCTTGAGACTGCTGGTCACACAGAGACTGTATAGACTAGCACAATAGATTAAAATTCAAAGCCAGGGGAGTTGGTATTGTAATATTTAGTTGAACATGCAGGTGCAGCACAAAGGACCAATTATTGGACGACACGTTTTCTGACTCTGATCAGCGCTCATGTCCGATTCTTTGTCCCTTGTCTTTGCCGGGATGCCAGGCATGTTCTCTTGAAGAGAGCATTGTTACTGGCATTGTGAAAACACAGCATGCCTGGCATTTTCAACTGATCATGATGCAAGTCCTTCATTTGAACGTTTTGTAATGACTTGCTAGTAACAGTTCATGCTCTAATTTTCAGGATTCATTCAGGTCCTTGAATTAGAAAAGGTTATTTTCAAGGCCTTGAAAGTGCTGGATTTCTTGTGAATCCATGCAAATTCTTGAATTTTCTTTTTTTTAAACAAATATTGTTGCGAATTTCTCGGCACATTGTGATTCTGTGTATATAGCAAGTGGCAGACATAGTGTGCACATTTTTGTGTAGCAGGCAGATATGCCCTTCACAAAAGAAACTAACACCGCACATTTTTGGAAACTCTGAAAAGGCAGGAAGAGGATAAAAAACAGAAAAAAATATGTTCCATTGAGGGAGAGGTCGAAATGTTATCAAAAAAGAAACTAGAAGCTACTCTTAAGGAATGAACAGCTTCAGCAAACTCTAGCCAAACACCGTCGGGAAAAATGCCATGGTTCTTTCCACAAACTCTGACGACCAAACAACGACCGGTGCAATCATTGGTACTAGCAAAAAAAAAAACAACATAGATTTGAAGGCAAGTGCGTGGGCATGACGAATCAACATTTATTGGGGCCAACATTGTTGGTAGTGCGCGCAGGCACCAGACGGGGCGGTTCCCTAGTTGCGGGACCCGTATGTATCCAGCAGCTCTTGGCTCCTGTCAGTCAGTGCACGCTGAGTCGGTAGGGCGGGGCTGGATAACAGTTTCCCATAGCTGAAGGGGTTGAGGATTCGGGGTGTCAGGAGGAAGGGACGCTGGGGGGTTCTTAAGTTCTATGCATTCTGCCAAGATGTGCAACACTGTGCCATTTTTTATTTTACAAAACGGACAGAGCGTGTCGTGTTCCGCAGGGTACATGCGGTTCAGCAGTATGGGATGCGCAAGCGATCCCGCCTGCGCTCGACGCAATATTGTCTGTTGTTTCCTGGTCAGGTCGGGGTGCGTTTCTGGTAGTCTGCACCTTTCCTCTCAGGCATGATAGTCGGCAATGGTGTTGCCTGCTACCTGCGAGTGAGCCGGGACCCACACGAGCTCTACGGCTCTTCCCGGAGGCCTGTATTTGGATAGAAAGGCTCGTGCCACGGATGAGATTACTCCCCTGCGGAAGCTTCCATGAGTCGGTGACCACTGTGTCCACGCTTGGCTGTACGAGCGCGAGAGCCACAGCAGCTTCCTCGGCAATTGCAGGGTCTTTTGTCCTCAGGGACGCGCTGACGATTAGCCTGTCAATAGACGTAACCACTACCGCAGCACAGTCACTGTGTTTTCGGAGTGAGGCGTCCACGTACATGACCCTGGGGTTCTCTTCCAGCTTCCGGGACATGGCTTTGGTTCACGCGGTGCGCCTCTCGTCGTCCTTGCCCGGCGTCATGTTCTGGGGAAAGGGTTTCGTTTGCATTGTTGTCTTCCAGTCTGCCGCAAACCGCCTTGATGGGTACTGGCTCGATCTGCCATCCTATCTTGCGTAGGACAGCTTGTCCGCGCTCCGCGCGGGCAGGGCACATGAATTATTAACAAAACTATAGTTTGCCGCAACCACTGCGGTTGCTGCAACGCAATTGGCGATTGGGGCTGCGAGCTCTGAAGATACGCGGCTAACGAAGCAATAGATTAAAGGCGGGAGGGGGGTGGGGTGTTCTTTTCAATCTTCATCTCCGCATACGACTACACTGGAGCAGACTCAGTGGAGGGGCCCTGAAACACTCTTTCGAGTAACAATGGAATGAATTCACTGGAAGAGGTTATTGCCTCACGAATTCGATGCCACAAAAATGTTTAAAATTCGTCCAATGCGAGTGGAGTTACAAAGGTTTGTCGCATGCTACAATTGCATTCTCTCTTCTCTCGTTCTGACGAAAGCGCTGGAAGCTGTGCAGGGAGGGGTGGCAGGGCCACAGAAAAGCATCACCTGAGCCTCGTGACCTGGAGCACTTTTTCTTTTTTCCCCTTCGAAGGCACAGCTTCTGCATGGGGCCACAGGACGAGATATTCGCGAAATAGAAATTGTCTGGGTACCAGCACACTCTGGGAACCCTGGGAACAAGGCGGCTCACCTGAATGCTCGAGGTTTCGTCAGCCGAATAAGCCGCCCGCTTCCGGGGAGGTCCTCGAGAGATGGGCTGGTCCCCTTTCATGACATAACGAATCATTATAAATTAGAGTGGAGGTTTTATCCGTCCCCGCACAAGCGGTTGACTAAGGCACATGAATGCGTCTGGAGAAAACTGCAGATGCGATCTTCACCCAATCCTTACGTGTTGAACAAAATATACCTGGAGGAAATAAAGCCGCAATGCAAATGGTGTCAGGCAGTGGCAACATATGATCACATACTTTGGGAATGTAGCATAGTGCCGCCGCCGGTGGACATTATGCGTGATCCCTCTCTTGAGCACTGGGAGGCCGTGTTGACCAACTAGGACACAGTCATCCAGTTAAGGGTCATGGAGTGGGCCACACAGGTCGCCGCCAACCTTGGGTTGATGGCCATCTAAGACGGATTCATCCGCATTTGCTTTCTGACGAAATAAAGTTTTACCATCCATCCATTCAGTGTGATCGCACGCGTGAACAAGTCCCGGCCTCCCGTGGCAATCTTTGTAACGAGCGAACACACCATGTTCAAATCAGCCAATGGCTGATAGATGGGCTTGCTACGTCTAATTTTTGGGCGCATTCTGTGATTTGTCGAGAGAAAAGAAAGCAATTTTTAGCTGACTGATGATTTATTGTGAATTCCAGGCCGCGTGCTGCGCTACAATATTTGGCTCACGTGTTGTCGGGAGCCCCTACTACTGATAGGCAGCTTTTGCTCACGATGCTCAAAAAGTGTTGCAGGGCCCGTTCAAAGCTTTGACATGCACTTTACTGGCAGCCAGCTGCGAGCTCTGAGGATACGCGGCTAACGCAGCGATAGATCGGGGGAAGGGGGGGGGGGGGGTCTTGTCAATCTTCGCATGCAAGTACAGTCGAGTGGACTTCAAGCTTTGACGTGCACTTTCGTCGCAGCCAGCTGCACCTTTCTTAATTGGTCTCTTTGCACGTGTCCCAGGAGGCGAGTTCTTTTGATGGAAAGGAATGTTTAGTGTGTATATCGAGGTTTGGAAAAACATTTTGCTTGTTTTTCTATTATGCGAAGTTTCGGGTATAGGGATGTTTTCAATCTCTGTAATATGTGGTACATATCACAGAGATTCTGCGGTGGTAGGGACACCCTATGTGCCTTGTTCATAAGTGATTATATCACCGCAATGTTAATGTTTACGCTTGCAGGACTGTTTGCTTCCCCCCTCCTTTCTGTGACGGTGTTCTAGTAGGGAGGGGGTGGAAGCAAACAGTCCCCCTTTGGCATTGTTGGAGATGCTATGCACTTCAAGTAGCACACAGAGACATCTAGTGCTTGCATGTACACTACATGAAAATTGTATAGTTGTCCCATAGTACTTTGGTCTGTCATTAGACTATACACACTATGCTTAACGTGCAGGTGGTTAATTTAACAGAGCACAAAACCAGATTTTTTTCTTTGTCCACAGTTCAACAAGGTTGTGCGGCTCCGCTTCTTGAAATTGAAGTCCATTTCAAAGAAGGCTGCCAAGAAAGCCCAGCCAGAGAAGAGTGAAGAGAAAGCTGCACCCCAAAAAAAAGTGAATGCAGTAAATAAATTTGCTGATGGAAACTCTTGGCAATGGTGTTACTTTGTTTGTAGGTTGTGTAGATCACGCTATGTGCTTCTTTTGCATAAGCTGATTGTGTCCCTCTTACCTTCGCCACCAAGGCTCTGCAGTGTATACAGTAGACTTGTGATAATTCATACTTTTGGTAATTCTTACATACATCAATTTTTCGGTTGGCTTTCTATTCTTTATATATACTTGACATGGTTAATTCATACTTTTTTGTGGTTCCGTACCAGGAAATATCGGCTGGTTTCCCACTACTATCTGAAAATGTGGGTGCTTATATAATCCTAACAGTCTAAAAATAAAAAAATAAGCACCTCAGGCCTTCAACAAATAAGGCTTTGCTAGTAAACAAATGTAAATGAAGTACATGCATAGTAAACCATGATGCTTCTCAACTGGAATAGAGAGCTTTGTGCTGACGGCATATATAGCAGAGAAGCAATTTGCAATTCACGAATACTTTGGGTCTGTTCAGCAGTACATTGCCAATGAACTTGTGGACTTTACAAAACCTCTGCTTTTTGTTTATTGCATGGAGTCTGGGTTTAAAAACATTTTTTAAATATGATTAAATCAATGCCTAATCATATGTGGGCACACCATGCCCTGAATTGCATATTTGAGAATTGATAATTCAAACCAAATTCAGAAATTCCTTCGGGTTGGAATTAACGAGAGTCGACTGTATTAATGAAATGAGCTAATACAAGTGCATCACCTAGGTAAAGTAGGTACCAGATAAGATTGATGCAAAGTATTTCTGACCTGTGGGACCATTGGCCGCCCTATTTGTTATTTAATATAAATGTATGGCTGTCCCAATGAATTTCGTATCGAAACAAGTGGTTCATCATTAATGCTTATGTCATCTGAAGGTTTTTTTTTATATTTTTAAGGATATCCTGAAGGTTGATGTGGTCTGCCACTTTGTCAAAAACATTTCTGCTTTATTTCAATAACAAGTTCTAATGAGTCAATTGTTGATTTTGTGGTGAAGGTTACTAAAGAGTGCAAAAAAATAGTAAAGGTGTTGAAGGGTTTTTTTGTCTGCTGTTCGGAGCTTGTGTTCCAGAGCCCAATCTGCTTTTTTTTTCTTTAACCATGCCTCAACATACGTTCCCTCCATTAACGGTACTTTCTGCCTATACCCTTGCCCGGTGGGAAAATGTACTTTGTTTCTTAGGAGGGCATGTGCACCCTGACTGGTAAGTGCGTCTGTGAAGTGATGCAAGTTCATGCTAGCTTTGACGAGATTTCCTCGGCGTTGACCTTATCTGCAGTGCTCGCACTCAAGGCGAAAAGTATTGTGTATTACAGAGAATCTACCGCACGTCAACATTTTTGTTGGGGCAGGAAATATCTCTACTGCTGTAGTAATTAAGAAAGGATGAATTGTGTGACCCTTGCGGAATTAATGAAAGCGTAGCCTCAATAGGCAGACTGAATTTTGGCCTTTTCTTTCTGTGACCGGGGGTTACTGGATGATCGTCCAGAATCTCAATCGGGGCTCCTATACTAATTCTGTGAGGTATACGATCTGCTCCCTAATTTCACCTGTGTGTGCAGGAATCCAAATAGTGTGATATATTGGTGCAGACTGTATAGGACCTTAATTGTAATCTCACATACTGCTTCACGCGTGTATTCACGCCATGATGGCTGCATGTTTAGGGTGATCATGGCGGGTTTTCTATTCAGCACTTTGTGGGGCTAATGCTTTGCTGCAGACTGCCGTGATGTCAGCTTGTGCGATTAGCTGTGGTCGTATAGTGTTCTGATATTTACTGCTGCTGTGCATTCACCTTTGTCTGCTTATATGCGTCTATGTATATGTGTCCCAACGTCTGTGCACAGAAATTTCTGAGCTTTTTTTTTTTCAACTTGCAACTGCTGCACAGTCGAGCCCCTTAATCTCTGTTTGTTGTCACAATTTCTTAGCAGCGAGATCTGAAAAATATGTAAATCTTGCAGTTACACAGCACAATTAAAATTTATTTATGGTTGTTGGCGACTTTGTTCTGTTTCATATAATGACAGTGCTTTGAAGGAGTTTGATGGCTGACCGCTTAGTACGCTTTGCATAGCTTCGTCATAGTCGCGGGTGCTAAAGAATGTGCGAGCGTTGTTAAAAGCATCAACAACTTCATCCAAACTTGCTTTGCAGCTTTCCTCACTCTTGTTGTCATCCTCATTTTTCTTTGCGCCCAGTAGGAGAGGTGTGCAAACACCCCTGCAACTTCTTTAAGTCACAATATATGTGGTTAAAAGCACACTTCCTCTCTATCTCTCTTCTCGAACCTCTCCGAGGCTGGCGCCGAGTTGGTTGTGGCTAGATGCTGTCACGTGGGACCGCTCGCAGCCCTCGTTTGTTTACAGCCACTTTCGATTACCAACTTTGCTTTAGAAGCACGGATTCGATGGTGTACAATGCATCTGTTTTTTGGATATGCACTTGTCCTTTAGTGCGCGTTGAGCTGTGAAATACCTTTCACCCTAGAATCACCTTGCTGTTGGATGCCATCAGTGCCTGTTGCCCTTCTGATGCCAGAATAAGTCGTGTCGACCGAAAGCATTTCATGATGCTATCTGTTAAAGGGCATCATGAAACCAGGTTTGACAACTTTGAGCTGACAAGTGCAATGCGTAGACGAGGCGTTCGTGATCACGACTGCCAAACTTTGCAACGCTACGCGCCACGGAAATGGGTCAAATTTCAAGATGAAAGCTGTACCCCCTCCCCTCTGCCGGCGTACTCGTAGAGAATGAGGGCATGACGTAGGCGTAGGAATGGCCCTACTTACACAGAAATGCAGTGACGTTGGTTCTTTACGTAGACGAGTCTGCTCCGACGTTGTCAACAGTACACCACGTGACATGGCAAAAATTATTTAACGCAACATGCGTAGTTTATGTATTTGTTGCTTTAAGGGAATAATAAATGTTGAAATAAATAATGAGACACAATTAAAAATTGTGCGCATTTTTTTTTTCATTTTTTTTCCGTGAAATGCTACGAGATGCGGGGCTAATGTGCCAGTGTTTCGCATGCGTTCGTATCCCCGCGGTCAGCACATTGAGCAGACGACCACCGTGGAATGCTCCTACGCATTCATGCACTCATTGTGCTCATCTACTCTACCGCGACTATGCCAGCGTTTCCAAACCATCCCGCAGAAACAGGCAGAAGACCACAAAATAACGCTGGTCAACAAAGCAACGCTGCTCTCGTGCTCGGGGGTTGGACTTGTTTGGGCACATCACCTCATGGTCGGATGCTGGAGAGGGTGGGGAAGAGATTTGGCTTACGAAGGCTACGCGGAGGAGCGGCAAGGGTTTCGAGATCGCCTCCTCTCATCTTCGTTTCGCACCGCTTAGGCACGGCTAGGCACGGCCAAGTTTGTGCTGTTCGCTCCAGTTTTTGGATACAGCGACCCGTTCGAACTGTTCGAGCCAGTCTTCGACATCCTCGTACTCTTCCCCACGGAAAACTTCAGGAACGCGAGGATGTTCAAGAGTTACCTGCGAGGGAAGAGTGGTCTGCGATGGCGGGATAACCGTGGATGTCGTAGGAGCTGCCATGCTGGAAAGAGGCGGAACAGGTGCGGACTCTGGACTTAGGCCTAGTAGGCGCCGACTGAATCGGTGCACTGGAGTCGTGACGAGGGGCTGAGTCTCTGGACTAGGTGAACGGGTCCGAGTAAGACTGTCCTGCATCAGGGTGTAGGCTCCAGCACCTCCACCAGTGTCCCGACGTCGAAACAGAGGTCTTGCGGCAGAAACTGAGACACCAGAAGCAGGTAGGTTCTTTTAATAGAACGCGCAAGAGAGTTCTTCTTTTTCATCCATTTCATAGTACTTCATGGCACATGCACAACTGTCATTGTCTTTCTTTTTGACAAGCACGTGACAATATGTTGTCAATTCGGTTGTCAAATTATCTACAGCTTTTTTTACTTGTTATTACATTTTTTTTATAATTTAGAGGTCAAAACTGGTACGACACAAATTGGCGGCAAAGTTGAAGATGCGGTACAGCCTCTACAGGGCGCAACCGCTCACTGGCTGGCGCGCAAACATTTACGCGTCTGAGTCGGCGCTCTCAGGTGTTTCTGATTTAAAACAAGCTTCGTGGTAACGGTACAAAGACGCTGTGCTCGTCACGCAGGGTGCCGATAAATTGTAAATGAAGTAAAAAAAACTGATCTTCACAGTATACTGCCGGTTATCTTCCATCTGAACAGCACATACAAAAAATTGAGCGGGATATAATAGCGTGCACGGAACGAAGATGTAGGAGATTCGTGATTTCAGTCTCAGTTTATTGACATTCTTTTCCACACAGTTGCGTTTGAGTATAAAGACATAATATCCATATATATTTATAGTTGTTACATAAAAAATAAACAATACAACAACCAGATGAAAGACACGCGAATAACTGTTTTTGTGCAGATTTTGAGTGAACAGTGGAAAAAAAAACGAGATGTATACGTAAATAAAATAAGCACTAAATAGCTAGTAATTCATTAAAGATAAGCATCAGCAGACAATAAATTGCAATTCATGCACACATGAATAAGTATTGGACCTACACTGCGACAAACAAAATAGATGTACTTACTTTAACATAATGAATACGGAAAAACATTAAGTAAGCGCCAAGCAATAGCTGAATGCAAATTTAGATTTCTCAGTGCCCCTATTTGTAACAACACTTTGCAAAAACAAAAGCGAAATTCTAACAGGACCCCCCCCCACGTGACGGCAGTTGTCCCAATCCCCCTCCACGTACGACGACCTAAGCTTGCCCTGCCGCGGTGGTCTAGTGGCTAAGGTACTCGGCTGCTGACCCGCATGTCGCGGGTTCCAATCCCGGCTGCGGGGGTTGCATTTCCGATGGAGGCGGAAATGTTGTAGGCCCGTGTGCTCAGATTTGGGTGCACGTTAAAGAACCCAAGGTGGTCGAAATTTCCGGAGCCCTCCACTACGGCGTCTCTCA